AACAGAGTGAAGCTGGGGCTGTTAAAGCCAAATTAAGAACCTGATTCCTCATCATTTGGCTATGAAAATCACCTTCAAATAAAACTAGCTAAAGTGTTTGCTGGCCAAGTCTAACTCACTTCAATATAGTTATAGGTAAACACGCATGATGAGTATAGAAGCTGTAGATGCAGTGCATGGATGATAAAAGAGGATTGATACTTTCAAATAACAGGTCAAGAACCTGGTTCTTGTACCAAAGGTTAGTAGTTCTGTGCATTCTTTAATACATATTTAAAAAGGTACAAAACACAACTGCCATGTCATTCACCTTTTCAGACCCTGCTGTCACGTCTCTTCACTTCAAATCGTTCCATCTCCCTCTGAAACATTGCACTTCTCCACGCACAACCGCCGTTTCAGAACCGGTCCCTATCTCTCTCTTCATAATTATCCATTCTTAATAAAACCCTCCTCTGTTCTCCACAAACCATAAGTCCTCCATTAGAACTTCCCAAAGCACCTTCACTCTATCTTTTCAATGGCTGATACGAACTCCGACATCCCTGCCTTAGTTATCCCTGATACTGAAAAACCTATGGAGTCCTCCATCCCTTTTGAGTCTTTTATAACCACTCCTACTCTCCCTGCTGAAATCACACCTCACCCAGATTCTCCGTCTCTCTCCATTTTAAAAACCCCTAAAAGTACTGATCCGTCCTCTCTATCTTCTGAGGTTCCCACTAATCAAAGAACAAGTGGAGAACAAGGTCAAAGCCATAAGGTCGCAGAGGGTTCCACCATTGTTACTGCAGATTCCGTGATTTTAGTAGTGCCGATTGAGGAAGAAAATGTTGTAACCATCTTTGTGGTATCTGCTGACCGTGTCCTGCAGGAGATAATTACTCAGAGAAACGAGTTACAGGGTATGAGGGAAGAAAGAGCCATAGTGGCTGTTGAGGACGCTGCACCAGCAGAAACTACTGGGCCCTCACATAAGAAACCTGATCCCTCTTTGGAGGACCCAGGTCAGGGTTCTCATTCCCAGAACAGTTCTGCTCCTGCATTTGATGTTGCGCCTCTGGACATTCTAGCTCCTGAGATGAGGTCCAGCGGTGAGGAGGATCTAGACAACCTGGCTCTTGATGCGTTTATAGTTAAGCGAAGGGTGGTGTCCACTCCTGAGTCTTCACCAAGCGACCTACTACCAGGTTGCAAGCTAAGGTGTCCTACGACTCTACCCTTCAAAAGAGCAGAAAAAGTAGTAAGAAGCAAAGGAGGAGGTTGGTGAAAGATAGTGTGCTCGTAAGTGATAAGGCGGTCCCTGTGGTAGAAGTGGAAGAGGAAACACTGGATGAACCTGGTTCACTGGTGAGACGGTCCCAGAAAAAGAATCAGCCTGCTTCAGTAGAGAAAGTTTCAACCCCTAGTTCCAAGTTGAAGGATTTTGTGAGTGAGTCCTCGATGTCTGATGAGGATGTGCTAGTCAAGTCCAAGGGAAAAGATAAATCAAGTGGTGGAATGTCCGGGAAACGAAAGTCTGAAACTGTTCAGGCACCTGGTTCTGTGAAGAGGCAGAGGAGTGAAGGCAATTTTGTTCAGAACGCCTGAGGCACCAAAAGGTTCTGTTGGGTCATACGTTTGACCCAGCTATCTCTGAGATGGCTGGTATGCAACAAGTTCTTGAAACAGTTGAGTTTCAACGATGGGGGCATTTATTCCAAATACATACACCTAAGGTGTATGAGGATGAGGTTCAAAGCTTCTTTACTAGCCTCTTTCACGTTGAGACCGACCACATTTGTGTTGGTGAATGGAGTAGATATAGTGTTCGGTGTAAAGTTGCTTGTGGAAATTCTTGAAGTCCCTACAGTTGGCGTGTCTAGTGTGAAGGATGTGTGTCAGTATAATTTCCGAAATGCCGTGGTAAAGGACAATGCGAACCAAAAGGGGGACCAGATCCACAAGAAAGCATTACTTCCTGTCTATCAACTACTTTTCGAAATGGTAAACAAAGTTCTATTGCCTCGTACTGAGAGGAGGTCCATGACTTCTAAGTCTGACCTATTTTTGATGGAGCAACTGGATAGCTTTACTCCTGTAAGCCTACCTGCTATTATGATTGAACACATGCAAAAAGTAGCAACCTTCAAGGATGGTAATCATGGCCTTCCTTACGGGTTTCTGCTTACGCGAGTGTTTAAATTCTTCGAGGTGCCGCTGGGGAAAGGCAAGGTAGGAACTAAGAAGCACACTTTCTCACAGATGAAGTTGGAAGAATGCGAGTGCATAGAAAAGAATGGGTGGGGGGGGTAGGAAGTACATCAACCGTCTCACAGCTCATTAATGCTCAAAATAGTGCAACTGAGAAGATTCTCCTATTGAAGGCTAGGAATGCTATCCGGGAAGGTCAGCAAGCCCAAGGGGTTCCGGCGTCAAATGATGAAGTAGCTCATTTGACAAAAGAGAATGCTGATCTCAGAGCGCAAGTAGAGAACCTGAAAGCAAAAGTGCTCAATAAGCAAAAGTCAGCCAATGCCCGAATAGACCTAGTTCTCCAAACACTTGTTGCAGCCTCCAAGCCCTCTACTCCTAGTGCCCCTTAAGTACCCCTTCAATGACCAGTTTATGGAATGTTCTCTTAAGTCTTTTTTTTTTTTGCAGATGTTTTGTTTTCTTTTTTTGATGTGGTTAGGATGAAACAGTATTGCTCCCGTTTTTAACAGTCCAATGTTGTCTTTGCTTTTTAAGCAAAGGCATATATTTCTATCTATATAAAATCTATCCTCTTTTGTCATCTCATTGCTCGAATTCTATGATTCTCTTCTCTATCATGTTGTGTGCACATATGTGGCACGAGTTAGCTCGGCTAGACTTCTTTATGCTGTTTGACTGCTTGTGTCTTTTTAACGATACCAAATGGGGGAATAAATAAATAAGTGTATAGATAAAATGATAGAATTTACAATTTTCAAAAAGGAAGGCATAAAGTCAGGGGGAACTTGTGATCTCCTGTTACTTTATCTGGTTCTCCTTGCTCTAAATACACGTTATCAATGTTTAAGTTAGTCATCATCAAAAAGGGGAAAATTGATAGGTTTTCAATATCTTTGCCTTATGTTTCGATGATCTAACAAACTTACTGTCAAGGACCAAATTGGGAACCTGACACAATTGGGCTACACTGCAAGTTAACGGGTTCCAGCTAAATGTGAATTGCTATAGCTTCAGGAGATGGAGAACCAAACAAGGACCTGATACCTTTGTGGTTCCCTCATAGCAGTATGAAGTCAATTGGACACAGCTGGAAGCGACGTGACTACCTGCACTGTTTCTGCCTGCACTACTGTTTCCAGTGGCCACTTATCTTTTGACCAACTAAAGTGCTTACATCATTTTAAGTGATTTCATCAAGGTGTATCAACAAGGAGTTTATATCAAAACATTACTTGAATACTTGATCCGATCTATTCAAGCCTTTTGCAAAACTGTGAACTAAATTCTCAAGAGCTTGAAGAACAAAGTTAAACGCTACTATGGACCAGTTCCTAATGTTAGTATTTTGTTGTCCTTAGTTGAGTTGTAACTTTGTGCTTGTTCTTATTGTATCTCCTAAACTGCTTAGCCAGAAGCGTTGATTAGGAACTCTCTTGTAAAATTCGTAAACTCTCTGAGTTTACGTTGTGACTAGGTTTAGTCATAAGTTAAAGTCTTTATAACTAGAGAGTGACAAAGTGGCTTGTGGTAAGAATATCACAAGTTAGTTGAGTTGAATTCTTTGTAATGGAGTCATTACAAAGTGGCTTGTAATAGGTGTTTACAAGTTAGTGAAGTTGAAAGCCTACAGGTGTAGGTCGTGATTTTTGTCCCCTTGAGCTGGGATTTTTTCACGTAAAAATTCCGTGTCTGATTTACTTACTGTTTAATTAGCATTCTCAATACAACCTCATAGAGGACCAGGTACTCTACTGTTTGGTGGACTCATACAAACTATCACATCCTATTCCTCATTTAGATGATATGCTTTGACCAATTGCATGGGTCTCAAATATTCTCTGAAATTGATTGTGGATATCACCAAATTAGAATGAATCCTGGAGATGAGTGGAAAACTGCCTTTAAAACTAAATATGGATTGTATGAATGGCTAGTGATGCAGTTCGGGTTAACTAATGCACCTAGTACATTTATGTTTAGGCCGTCAACACCTGGGTAGGCAAGCCTTAAGATTTTTTTTTTAGAATTTCATGGCAAGATTTTGTTCCCTGTTAGTTATTATATAATCCGGGGAATGTCCCGAAGTACATGTAAATGAAGGCCAAGTACAGGACGACATTCATGATGGAAGCATAGTATAGTATTTTGTCCTTTTTTTTTATTATTTATTTTTTCTCTTATATTATTTTCTTTATTTAGGCGGGGAACAATATCGAGCCGCTTGTTTGCTTATTTTCTCTGTGTGTTTTACCTTACTTAGAATATTCTAAAAAGTCAACTAGATCGGGTATGCAACCGTGACTTTCACGGGACTGGGGGAATGCCTAACACCTTCTCCCCGAGTCAAATGAACCCCCTTATCTAGAATCTCTGGTGCAAACTAGTTTTTTGGAGTCCACACGTGTTTTGAAAGAAAAGTTATTTTTGAAACGGTGACCTGGCACGCTGAAATCAAATGTCAGGTAGCGACTCTGAAATTTCTTTTAAAACATGAATTCTGTTGCTTCCAATTGGAAAACCCTTTTGAGCTTCAAAATCTTTTATTATTTTAAAGAAGGTTAAGTGAAGTGAAAAAAGAAGGGTGTGACAACGCTTGTTTACGTATATACCCAACACCTCTCTCGTTTTGTCAATTAGAAATTCCTAGGGTCACATCTATAAATGCGTTAGATTAAACTCATCCTATTATGATACCCTGTCAAAAACTATCCGCGGAATACAGTTCGTCCACCTGGATCAAGTGGGTTCCTGTGGGTCCTAATGCTGCACTTTATAAGAACAAACAACTCGTTGCCACAAAAAATCATAGGACGAAAAGGTCTAGTAGATTGGAGAAAATAGTCTTAGAAAAGTATAGTTGTAAACACATGGCAAGAGAATCGTCAAAAATCCGGTTGAACGGCCGGGAATTAGGTGCCTTTGTCAAGCAATCCGATGAACCTGAAGACATATGTGAATTGATATTTGAGTTCTTAGACGAAGACCTCGAATTCCACTCGTCAGAATGTTCGTTGGATTCGAGCATTAGTTATAGTAGTGGAGAGATAATGCATGAGGAGGACGATGAAAATGTAAACAATAGTGAGGAGAACAAGGCGTTTTGGGCAGCACAAGGGGAGTTTCTTCAGGTAAGATCCGTATTCAAGTTGACCACAATTTTTTCTCTTTTTTTTTTTGTTGAAAATTCCCAGGAAAACCGTACCTACTACCATTTGGGTGCTCACTGTGCAATATCTCACAAACTACATATGAGATGTAAACCGCACTAAGCAAGTTCAGTATGACGAACTCTGACTGAGGAGGCTACTAGTAAGGGGAATCTATCTCAGGTCTCCCTTTTGGGATACCACTCATCCAACTGACTTAGCCAATCCTTACGAGCAACTTTTTCTTTTTACTATATAAATGTTCTTGGTTTTTAATATTTGTTTTTAGACAACACTGTGTAGGACAACTTCTTTTGAATCAAGAATCAGAAAAGCTACAAAGGAGGCTCTAAATGAACTAAAATCAATAGGCTTCAATTGCAGCTGCAAGAAAATGGTGGCCGATAGTTGTAGGAAATGTACACAAAAAGAAATCTCAGAACGCCTTGGAAACGCAGGTTATAATTGTTCCATTTGCAAGTCCAAGTGGAAAAGCTCACCCGAAATGCCTTCAGGTACGCCGTCTCAAACACTTCACATTTCTTTAAACTACTAAAAATACAGGAATTGGCAAGGAACAAATTATGTACTAGTAAACTGAAAAATTCGTCGCTAATCCTATTTGGATTATCAAGAACTTGTGCTTGTAGCGTTGGATTTGCGACGAAGTTCATAGCTAATTCTAGTTTTTTAAAGAGAAAGAAGGAAAAACTGAAATATGCTAAATTAATTATATTTCTCTTTTTGTGCTTATAAGGTGAACACACATATATGGAAGTGGTGCAGAGCGCAAGTTCAAGAAAGGGGGAGATAATGAAGGTGATCATAGAGTTAAATTTCAGAGGAGAATTCGAGATGGCACGAGCTAACGAAGAGTACAATCGTTTAGTGACAAAATTGCCAGAAGTATACGTAGGAAAAATTGAGAGGCTTAGGAATCTAATAAGAATATTATGTTGTGCATCTAAGAAATGTATGAGGGAAAAGAAGATGCACATGGCTCCATGGAGGAAGCATAAGTACATGTTAGCTAAGTATATCGGCACGCCGGAGATGATGCCGGAGCCTGGTTTTCCGGCGGTGAACAATTTACAACGGTTAGTAGTAAGACCAAGAGCTTATTCTATACTCACTTTCGATCTGCTGGATAGCTTACCGCCGCCGCCGCCCGGATTATATTCCACGGCTATTAAAGTTATTTGATGACAGGGGTGGTAATTTGAGCTCAAACCCATCCAACCCGCGAAGAGATTAATGGGTTGGGCTACAAATATTTTAGCTCATGGGTCAATTTGGACTGAGCCCAAGTTTAACCCATTATTTTTTAGGAATTTTTTCATTCCTATACACTATTTGAAACTTTATTACCCTTTATGTCCATGTTTATCTAATTACCTGGTATAAACAAGTTTTGCTTATAAAATATATAAATTCACCTTAAAAGACTCCCAAATCCATTATTTGTACCTTCAATCAAGGGATTTAGTTATATCATTTTCCTTTTTTTCTCCTCGTTCTCTTTCTTATCTCCAGATTCTGTTTGCTATACCCTTGGCCTTGTATTGTGTTGCGATGGTCTTGTTGTTCTTACGAGTTACGGTATTGACGCAACGGTTTCTTTGGCTTCTTTAACTTCATTCTGGCTGTGCTACTTTTAATTGCTTTTCGTCTTTTCTAATTTTTTCGAAAGTGTATAGCCGATTTCAAGTTTAGACGAAGTTAATTGGTTGATTGTTTAAGTGTAATATAGATTGAGTTATTTGGATATTAGCATGTAAGTCTCAGTTGCTCTGATCAAAGTTGAGGGATTTCTACTAAAAGATTCCAACAATTTCATTATTAAGATGAGCTTTTTTTTTCTTTTAGTCAAACTCCATTAAGTGTGAGTTGTATCATTACTTTCTTTTTCCCAGTTCTATTGCTGTGGTGCAGCATGGAATTCATTCAGGTTTATCTGATTTCATGGAATCTTTTTGTCTGAATATTGTACTACTCCCTCCGGTCCATCCTTCGGCACACCCCTTAAGAAAATACTAATCTCCATCTTTCGAAAAAATCATGAAATTAAAATATCAGAAACATTGCAAACATACACCTTGACATGTCAATGGGTCGTAATTGAATGTTAAAGAATTACTGTAAGTCAGGAATCTCCAGTTTGGTATGAACATGTCAATGGGTAGTAATGGGATATTTAGTTTTCAGTTTGTTAACATATTATGAATTCGTTCATATATATGCACACAATTTATTCATGAGAATTTTTTCGTACACTATCCAGTTAAATACAACTATAATAACATACAACTTAAATACAAATTTTATACAATATGTCTTTTGTATATTTTGTATCTGATTTATACGTAGTAAAAATAAATTTCATACAACTAATTATATATTATACAATTTATCTACAACTTTCACACATTATTTTTACCCAGTTAAATACAATTACAATAACACACAACTTAAATATAAATTTTATACAACATTATACAATATGTCTTTTGTATATTTTTTATCTGATTATACATAGTAAAAATAAATTTCATACAACCAATTATATATTATACAACTTATCTACAATTTTCATACATTATTTCTGCTCAGTTATATACAACTACAATATCATACAACTTAAATATAATTTTTATACAATGTTGTTTAACTTTCATACAATAGTTAAATAAATAAAAGAAAAATATATAAACAACGTAATACAATTTTTCTACAATTTTACTACAATTTTACTACAATTTTGTAAATATAATGTATATCATGTCTTCTTCTTTTTCGAGTTTCAATATGAAATTCAGCAAAACCAAGTCTAAT